AAATGTTTCATATGACCTTCCATGTACAGCAAAGGACTGTTACTGCTTTTCTCATCTGAGAAGCAAATCTCTGAGGTATTCCTACAGAATGCCCCTTTCACATGTGCACTGCATACCGAATTTCTAGGTTTCCATGTGTTGTTACAGCCTTCATAGCATAAAGCAAAAAAAAAAAAAAAAGCTTTGGTAGCTTATTGTTATGTAGCATCTGCACTGGACATTTTATCCTGATGCTTTATCTCAAAACATCACTATTTAAAAGATACATGTCTGTCTTCTTGTACTCTAATGTCAAAACTATTGGAGGACTTTTACACCTGGAATGCATGGATGAAGGGATGGACCGAAAGCTATGTGAGGAATGTAAGCAGAATGATAAATTACTGGGATTAGAAGGAACAGACTTGTGTTGGTGGAAAGAGATGGTATTATTTATTTTCAGAGCTGCCTTGTGATTTTCTAATTTGTATAATATAAACGAATAACATATTTAGCATTTTAAAAGTACTTCTTTTGATAAGCAACAAGCTTCTTCTGGTCCACATAACAGTACATGATGAAGTTTTACTCCTTTGGAGTTAAAAACTCCCAGATACTCATAGAAATTAAGTTTAAGGAAGTAAAATGTTTTCTAGTTTAGCATTCTTTCCATTGTGCTTTCGGTGTGCAATGAACACTGAACATCATTTCTCATCTAGCTGTATCATTTCAGCTACTCTGTAGACAAGAGGAAACAAAGAATTAAAAACTGACTGTTTGCTGTCATCTAGGGATTCTCTGGATATTTGCAACCAGATAAAAACCCTAGATTGAACATGCTTCTAAATGTTTTTCATGAAAATAGTAGAAACGTCTGCACGTCTGTAAGCCAGACTTGATTATGATCATTCAAGATTCAAGCTATATTATGGCATTCTATTGAAGTCTTTTTATTCCCCCCTCTTTTTTGAAAAAAAAAAAAAAACACATTAACATAGGACAGGGCAAAGATGAAAATGTTGGCAAATGACAGGATTTAACCTTTTCCTTTCCACACATGCTGGCATGTGTGCACACATGCCCAAACACACACACACACACACACAGAGGCTTACTGGGTGCCTGGATATACAAACTTAATAATAAATTTTCCCACTGTCTTAATTTAGTTCTGGATCGGAGCCCAAATATAGGGCATTCCAACAGTCCCAGTGTTACCTCAACCTACTAGGGCAAGATATGCAGCAGGACCAGACATTTTCAGACTCCCAACGTATTTAATTTTATTAGCATTATGGATGCTTCCTTACACGCACTTTGAAAACATTAATAGAAATCTCAGTGTTAAGCCAAAGTCTTATATGGCTTGGTGCACCTATTTCATTGCCATGAACTTCCACAATTTAATTAATCTTTAGCAAATGCTACACCTATTCTTTTCAAATGTACTGTGTGAACAAGTCATTAAGCAGGCCATCTTATTAGGAAGCTTTCAACCATTAAAAACATGCTGAATTAGATTCTGAGGCCTGTTTTTCAAATTACATTTCTTTCAAAAAAATAATGAAAAGCCTATATATCAGTCCAACGTATTAATCCTGCTATGTCCATTTCTCCGATTAGAAAAATAAACAACTAGTTCTGAGAAATGTCAAGAGGATATTGAGATTGAAAGAGAACACATTTTCCTTTCTGTCCTTATCAGAAAATATACAGGGCAAAGATCTGAGCCTGTACTGACTTTCAGAAGGAATAACTACAGGAAATTGAAGTAACAAGATATTCTAGGATAACTGTGTACAGTAACCTATCACTGGGTCCTAGTGTCACTCACCCAGTGTTCTTAAAGAACTGAAAGAAGTGAAATGACTACCTCAATAGCAAAATATTTCACTCCCCCACTCCCAAGAAAATACTTATTTACAGAGAACAAGAATATTATCAATGTGATACCAATTTCCTAAAAGGAAACTAAAGAAAATTATAGGCTGGTCACCTTAATTATATGTTCCAAGCACATTGGGAGGAACCCTATAGAACAAGGGTGTCAAACTCGCATTGTCATGGCAGCATCACCTGACATATCAGGACTTTTTCCCCCTTCACTAAACCGGGTGGGGGCAGGGCCAGTGTGTGACACATCCGGCCTGTGGGCGGTGAGTTTGATAGCCCTGCATGGTAGAAGGAAAATTAGCATAGGATAATATGCCCGTTTATGAATTGCCAACTAATTAAAAGAGAGAAAGAGAAATATATAGATAGATCAATAATTTCATCAGTGGAAAAAAGCAGCAGAGTCACACCAGGAGCTGCATTTAGACAGGTGCTTTTCATAAATGATCTTTACTTAATGGTAAGCAGTGACCTGGCCAAGTTTTAGAAGACATTCACAGTGGTAAAAAAACAAATGGAAAAAATTAACAAGCTTTTAAATGGATGAACCAAATGCAAAATGGGACTACAGGTAGTCCTCAAATTCGTTTAGTGACCATTTAAATTTACAATGGCACTGGAAAGTGATTTATGACCATTTTTCACTCTTACCACCATTGTAGCATCCAGTCACATGATCAAAATTCAGACACGTGGCAACTGACTCATATTTATGACTGTTGTAGTGTGCTGGGGTCATATGATCCCCTTTTGGGATCTTATGACAACCAAAGTCAATGAGAAAGCCATATTCACTTAACAGCCATGTTCCTGACTTAACAACTGTGCTGATTCGCTTAGCAACTGCGGCAAGAAAGATTGTAGAATGGGGCAAAACTCACTTAACAAATGTCTTGCTTAGCAACAGAAATTTTGGGCTCAAGCTGCAGTTGAGGACTACCAGTAAATTTAAGCAAATATAAATCGATGCACAGAAGAGCAAAACCATGACAGGTACCCTGTCTGTGGCCACTGTGGTCTGTCTATAATTTTGAAGACTGAAAGTTACCTCCAAGTTGCAAACAGTGCAGGGAAACAAATATGCCAGTAGAATATGTCTTCATCTCCCACTTCTGGGCAGCTCAGAGATAGTTGGCTACTGTAAAAAATGAAGTGTTGCACCAAGGTGCCTGATCCATCAGGAGCGTTTGTATGTAAAAGTCATATTTACCTACACAGCCATATCCAGGGGCTTCAGGGGCTATAGTATATATGCTTATTAAGAGACAGGAGGAGCAATAAGTGAGAAATATTCTCAAACACAGAGAGGAAAATATGACTCCAAGTCAATAATTAACAAGTAAATCCAAGTCAACAATCAACAAGTGAATCCAAATAAATGAACTTGAAGATAGAAGTGAATAAACCAGTTGCCCTACAGATGTTGGATCAACTTCCATTATGTTTTCCCAGTGAAAATGGCTGTTGGGGCTTACAAATATCTGAATGGCACCAAGTTGCCACTACTTGTTGTAGAGCAAGGACACAGAGCTAAAAGGCCAGCCCTCCTATTGTACTGATAGCCCTTGACTTACTAACATAATTGGTAGTACTGGCTTCATTTTAATATTGCAAGCCACCCAGTCACCTCGCAGTGAGATGGTCTGCAAACAAATTGAATAAATAATATAAATAATTGACTGCACAATTATGGTTGTAAGCCACAGCAGTCATACATTGCAGTGACGTGATCAGACCTGATTTTATGACATTTTATGCAATGGTAGGTGACTGGTAAAGTAATGAATTTTTCCCAGAGGGCAATTTTTGCCAGAAATTGGAATAAATGCCAGAAAGTGGCAAAAAAAATAAAAATAAAAATCGCAAAACACAAGTCACATTATGACAAATGTAGCAAACAGCTGTAAAGGTGAGGTGCCCAAAATACAATCACGTGACCATAGGTGTATGAGAGTGTGTGCAGCCTTTGTAACTCCAAAAATGGATCGTTAAGTAGCTCTAGGGACATCAGTCGCAACTTCAAATGGTTGTTAAGAGACCAGTCAAAAGAAAAAAACTACTTGTACTCATAATCATCATGCAACTTTTTCTGAAATAAAGTGGGAAATCGAAGATATAGTTCATGACTTTCGGCCTCCATGTGAAGAGCTATTAATTTCTTCAATAGAAACACGTATCTTAAGTTCACCATCTTGAAAAATGTATCAGACTGTTTTTTCTAATGCAATATAAAAGGAAATGTGTTAAATATATTATTTATGGAGACGCCTATTAACTGACTATAAATGTAATAAACATACTTTTTGTCCTGACTGCCTCCTACTGTCTGAAGTGTAGTCTGCAGCATTCCATTCAAAAACCAAGTATGGTTCAGTCTGAAAGAAGCTGCAATCCTCTGCTACAGAAAAACAGGGGTCAAATATGAAGCAAGTGAATGCTTTTTAATGAGTAAGATCCAATTGAGTAGCTATCAGGAACTTATATACCACTCGGGTGGGAATATGTCATGTTTTCAAAGCAGATGAAACACCTACACCACATAAAAAGTACACAATGTATTCATCAGCATCTGTAAACTAGTGCAGTAACAATTGGAACATCACCATTGAATAGGTAACAGAATGGAGCATATTAGAGTACAGAAATTATTTCAATCTTACTTCAGGCTGAAATTTTGTTGCTGCTGAAATGAAGACCTCAAAGGCAAAGCAATGATGACATCACAATATGCACAAATCAAGAACTGCATGTGGGTTTATTTTACATTTGAGAAAACAGTGGATTTCATTGCGTGAACCAAAAAGGTACTGTACAATATTAATGATAAAACATCAAAATGTATAATTCATAGTGCATTGTTTGCTTTATTTTTATTTATTTATTTTGTCAGATAGCTCCTTTGAGTACATGCATCTGGGAAGATGCAGGTGCCAGTAAAATTTCTCTATTTAACTCAAGCTGCAGGAACTCAATTTTATTCAAAAAAGTGTGTTTTTACATTATATACACAGAAATTGAATATAAAATGACAATATAAAAAGTTAAGAGAGAAAGCATACAGCCAGAAGGTACAAAGGAAGTTGAACAATTTAAAATGGTACAATATGCAACATGTACTGTTTTTTTTAAACCTAAGCTGATGCTGGCAATTTACAAGGATCAGAATCCAACACTTGCCCCATTTTTTGTTGTTGTTTTGTTTCATTTCCATGTACCAATGCAGCACACTATAGAAAGATCAGCCTGTACCAAAGCTTACATTTGTAAATAACTATAAACTGCAGTATCTTACAGGAAAAAGAAATAACATTTCTACATTTTTAAAAAATAACTTGCATACTTTTAATGCCAGTCAAGTGGCAATATTCAGCAATCAGAGGATTTGGGCATAGCGGCAAATCGGTTTGTGATTTTATTTTTTTAAACATGGGTCATGTCTAACTCCTTGAGCATTTGATCACTTTTTATAATTATTCAAGAATGGCATGCATCTTTTCTTTGCAAATCAGACTGCTTTTTAAAAAAAGCTTTTCGTCATTTGAAAAACCTATTAAATATTAAGTGAATTTGACCCAGATGAAATGCCTTTAAAAAAACAACACACACCTTCTTTTGGGAAAGGCACAGAATACTATTATAGTCCTCAGAGGGTTAAAAACTGACACTACTGGGTTCTGTGACCTTTATTGTCATGGCAACTTTGTAATTTTAGAATGTCTTTTTGTTATTGTTCTTTGTGTCTTTCTTTACGGCTAAATTAATGTCTCTCAATAGTGTCTCCCACTATAGTCTACAAAAGATAGCTTAACATCAAGGACATATGTTGAAAATAAAGGTCAGACTCTGACTCACGGAAAAAGAAGTGGGGAAGGAAAGGAAAAAAAAGGTTTTAAAAACATGCACAGATCAGACAAAGAGCATATAAATATAACTACAAAACGTATGTAAGAAAAACCAAGCTCCAGATAGGCAGTTCAGCAACAAAAGTAAGACTGATTTCAGAGGCTCAGATCAGGCCTAGTGCAGTACTATGAAGTTTAGTGCAATGTTCCTGTGGTCACTTGCATACCTGGTTGCTTACCTGGACACTAATGTTTTTCTAACTCAGTTACATAGATCAGATGGTCCTCGGGGGACTTCCCATGTGTTTTACTAAGGTGCAGTTTGACTGCATGCTTGCTTGCAAAAGTTCGATTACAGAGCTTACACTGGAATGTGGAGCCCGAGTCCTCCTCGGCAATTCCAAGTGAGCCTAAAGTCTTATTGGAGAGGACCTTGGAAACATTCTGCTGTTCTTGTATCTGATTAAGTGGCAATTTGGACAGATCCTTCAAACTGAACCCTAAATGTGTCTCCAAGTGACTTATATATGTGGAAGCAGTCCTGAATTGAGAGGCACAATCATTGCAAAAGAAAACAGGATGACCTGTATCCAAATTCTTTAAAAACTTAGTCCCACCTGTCCTCCTTAACTGATACTTCACATTTGCCAGCCAGTGGCTAATTGTGGTCATGGAAAGACCAGTAAACTTCGAGATATGAACCCGCTCTTGTGGGCCCAGGTCCGACATAATATATTTGCCTTCTGGTGTCTCCCTCAAACTGGAAGCAAACTGCGCTTGAAGAATGAGAAGATGCTGAGGGTTCCAGTTTGATTGCCTACCTTTCCTCTTGTGTACTGGAGACAGTTCATCCAAAGCTTCTTCAAAGCTACTTCCATCTGCGTCAGATTTTTCTGACACAGAAGATGGAGTCGAAGATTTGGGAGTCAAGCGCCCTGTGAGGTTCTTTACCATGTCAGAAATATCCATTAGGGCACTTTCTCTTAGAGGAGATGAGACAGAATCAGTCACACTGGAAATCAGTGGCTTGGTTTTGGACTTGGTTAAATCAATAGGCTGATCACTGTTCTCGTAATAGTACCGATCAATAGGCTCAGCTTGCTTAGCCGGAGTTGTGGGATAAATGGGTTTGTCCAACATGCTGTTACTAATTTTATATAACATGGCCAAAGGATCCAAAGAAGGACTTACAGGATTAGAGACTTTGCCTAAGTGGGTATTCATGATGGACTGCAAAGCGCTCAGTGGGTTAATGAATGATTGCTCTGGTGAATGGTCTGTAATGATACCCAAGTTATTACAACCATTGGTGACTTTTGTTTTAGGTGGTTCAGTACCATTAAGTGCATGTGGGTCGGCTAGAAGATCCTTTTTGACCTTCTGAACTTCAGCTTCAGGAATTTGTTTTTGCTGATGTGGCTGCTGATGTAGTTGTTGTTGTTTGTTGCTTTCCTCTGATTTTGGAAAGTCTTTGCTTTCCTTGGGAGCAGGGGACAATGGCTTGACTGGAGAACATTTTTCTTTCTCTGAAGGCTTTTCTTCTTTTTTAATATGGATTTTGCCCGTGACCTTCTCTACTAGCTCTTCCATGGCAGAGACATTACTTTTATGAGGAGGGGGTGTCAGATTGCCTGGTGAATGGATCAGCGCATTGTGTTCTGAAGACAATGACTTGACACTGCTAGCATACGATGGCTGAATCTGAACACTCTGCACAGTTGGCTGAAGGGATTTAACAGTTCCTGGAAGCTGATAAGCTGCATGAATGCTAGGGTAGCCTCCCCAGGAAGGTGCTCCATTTTGAGCTTTGCTTATAGCTGTGGTCACTGTGTTCTCCAGAGATTTCAATATGTCGATTCCACCTTTTGGACTTTCATCTAGATCCTCTTCACGGAGGTACTGATATACAGTTGTTGGATCAAATTTTTCTGAAGAGTCCTCATTTTCTTCTTTAATTTTTTTGTCCGTTTCAGTAACAATCACCTGTTCTTTTTCTGGCTCCTTCTTTTCTTCAGAAGTCGTAGATCCAGCAGGAGAATCTGGCTGCTTTTTAATATTTGTAGCTGGTAGTCTTGTATGAGTGGTAGGTGGCAAAGGTATGGACTGTATCTTTTCTTCAACTACCGAGTCCAGTACTAGCTGTTTTCCTTTCTTAGAAGCTGAATTAGTTACTTTCAAAAAATGTCCTGTGACCATCATATGAGCAGTCAGCTGCTGCAAAGTGTCATGAGAACTGCCACATTCCATGCATTTTAGTATCTGAGCTTTGCGGGCCTCAAACTGCCAAGTATAGCTAGCACCATTTTGATAGCCATAGCGATTATTGGGAGTTACATATGGATTGGCAGTTTTTTGATCCTTTGCTACTTCACTAAGTGTAGTCTCTGAAGTGATTGCTGTTGGCTCAGGTGAGCAAGGTGAAGCCAAGTCCTGAAGTGCTCGTTTTTTGCTAGAAGGCACCAGTTTGGTGATGGCTGGTACTGGTTCCTTCAGAGGCACTTTCTGGTAATGTTTTGTTTTTATCATATGGACACTTAAGTCTTGTAAAGATTCAAATGAATGACCACAGTACATGCATTTTAGTACTTTCTGGGCATCCTCTTTGCCTTCCATTTCCATAAGTGATCGCTTTCTGGGCTTTGACCACCGTCTGGTTTTTTCAGATTCTTTATCTTGGTTGTCATCCCGGTAATGTCCAGTTTCATTCATGTGTACTGTAAGCTCTACCAGTGTATCATATGCTGCACTGCAGTCTTTGCACCGGAATTTACTGGCACCAGTGAACACAGAACCATACAGTTTATTGTTTTGCCGGTAAAGTTGCACTGTGCTGAACAGACTGGGTTCTGGTAGAAGTCCGTACGAGGTCTGTTGCAGAGTTTTGGCCAAAGCCGCTTGATGCCAGTCATAACCTGAACTGCCACTGCTACTGTTACTAGTACTACTGATGCTTGTAGTGGTAGTAGTGTTGGTACTGGTACTGGCACTTGTATTTGGGGTACTGATACTAGTGGTGCTGTTAGTGGTGCTTTCTTTCAGGCTGTCTTCATTATTCTTTGATTTTTTTAAATCTAAAGCTAAACCAGACCAACAAGATTCTGACAGTAAATTCGCATACACGGCTTTTATCTGTGCTAAGCTGTCCTGTGGGTAGGAAGCATTGTCCAAGCACTTGTGATCTTCTTTCTCTTCTTTAGAGGAAGTGCTTTTGAAATGGGCCAGTTGATCACTGTTTTCACTGAATGGTGAACCATAACCTGCATCTTGATTTGTTGCTGTGCTGACTGGAGAATTCTGGTAACTCTGAGCCTCTTTGATCTCTGTTTCATCCTGGCACATGTACTCAGTTTCTTGGATGTCCAGAGATAGCCCATCATCCTCCCCACTTTCTTCATCAATTTCTGCTGCTTTCAGTTCTTCTTCAGGAACATAAGCTTGAAAAAAAGAGAAGAGAGAGAAAAAAATAAGAAAACCATTAAAGAATGTACCCATTTTTCCACACTGCAACTATTACAATAAAAATGAGTGTTATATTGAACAGAACATATCCAAAGCTTTTAGTTCAATGTGATAATATACCTTCTCAAATCAGGGCATTCCCTCTACAACTAAATATGGGCACGACACATCAGAAGGATTAATGTTTTATCAGCAGAATTATCAAGTCTAACTGAAGCTAAAATACATTCTTCAGTTATTTATTATGATATAATTACATTACAATGTTGCTGGCGTACCCAACAAGGTACTCCAAGAAGGAGTAAATAATCCGATGATTATGGCTTCAGTTTATTTACTCTTTTACCAGATTGCTAAATGGATGGGTTATTGTAATTTTTTTCACAACAATAGAAAATTATACAGTTTAGTTGCAATATATTATGTTCAACAATCCAGTGTATGCAACACAGGATTACTATAAAGTTCTATGAAAATAGAGTAAAACTAAAAAAATCATATTAAAGTATTTAAATTAAATACTAATTATTAAGTATTGTTATCATTAAGAGTTATATATGCCTATATTATTAATAATGCAATGCAATTTTTTTCTTCATATTTTTCCCCCAATTTTTCTTCTGAATGGTGCTATTTTTATTTTAGGGACTAAACCTGTAGCTAAAATAAATTAAAATTTTGTATTTAAAATTTACCCCAAGTTAATTGGATGAGACAAAATACAATACAAAGGATCAACCTGGTAAAAGGCATACAACTAAGTGTTTGAACAGAAGTAACAATAGGTACTAGGCAATTAAGTTTTCTGAACACATTATTGTAGGGTAGAAATAATTTAGTATTATTTTTACTGACACTTCTATTATTGTAATATGTATCGAGGACTAATTTAGATTCCAAAGTTACATGCAAAGAACATAAAAATTAATGGATCCATTAATTGTCTCACTGTCCAGAGAACAACCTCACAGAATAATTCCATTGGACAAATACTGTGTTCCATTAGAACAGTAACATAAGAAAGATGCTTAGTGATGCCTAGCCATATGCAGATACAACAGGCCTCAGGTCAGCACAAGGAAAATTGAATAGCTTTGGTCCACCTTCTGCTACTGGGTGCCTTCCTTTGTTTGGATGAGTGGCACTGTCTCGGACAGACCTATGGGTAATCTGGACTAATGATTCCAGCTCAAAGAACTCATTATCGGGTTGTGTGCTGGCTGTGGACAGGGATTCTGCTCACTATCACTCATGACCTCCAGTCGGGACTATTGCAATGCATTCTACATGGGGTTGCATTTGAAGAGCTCTCAGAAACTTCAACTGGTGCAGAATCAGCAACATGGGTAGTAAATTGTACCAGTTTTTTGGCCCATGTAACATCACTACTTTGTGAGCTGCATTGGTTGGCAGTGTGCTTCCAGATACAATTTAAATTTTGGCTGTTGCCTTTTCTGTCATAACACCAAGCTTGTGGAACATTCTACCTCTGGAGACAGGAAGGTCCTGACAATATTTTGTAAGGCCTTGAAGACCTGGTTCTCTGCCCAAGCCTGGGGCCCTGAGAATGTGCAGGGATCCACTTCTTGGTTGCAATGTACAATTTACCATATAGTTATATCTCACTAACTAATTAACTAACTACCACATAACAAAGTACTTCCAACGGTTAACAGTAAAATAAAATTCTACAACGTAATACAGTTAAACTATCTTAAGCCAATAAAACCAATACAAAAACCAGACTAATTTATGTTCATATTGAACACTGAAACAAGATCCAAACAAGGTACCTAGATTGATATAGGGTAGCAATTATTCAGGGCAGTCCACACTGGGAAACCAAAACGAAGAATACTAATGCAACATTTATTGTAAGGTTATAATAACCCAGTCTTGCAAATCTGAAAGATTTCCCCTCTCCCCTATCTTTATATTCCAAAAAAACTATGGAGAGTCAATTTTGAAATGCTTTCTTCAACCCCATTGCTGCTCTGGATCCAAATTTCTTTTTTCACATCACTGTCTAGGCTGAAGTGTTCATCCTGTCTCTTAAGATTCTTTCACAGCTCATTACAGATGGCAATATCCATTAATTCCCAAACATTCTCCAGAACAATTATGCTTTGACCAGTTTCTGAAAGAAAAAAACTGAGAGTTATACAGGAGTTATTACAGAGAAACCTATTGGCAGTCAGCACAAGGCTTGCAATATGTAATGTAATTACAATATGTAATATAGATTTTTTCTTTTTTTACTTTGTATGTCAGTGCTTCATGATTACCTGGACAACTCCCTGCAGTTTTTTTGCCAATCCCAATAGATTATGTATTTTACAATTATTTTAGAATGGCTATCCAGACTAGGTTAGCCATTTTAAATTCAACTACAATACATTTAAATAGGAAAAAAGCTATCTGTACAGATCTTGGATAAGGATGACATTTTATCTGTGACTGTAAATCTCAGAATTATTCTGATCACGTGAATGAAAGAAACCCCTACTGAACCAATGGGATTTACTCTAATATAAATGTATAACTTTTTTGGGGGGGCGGGGGGGACTGAATTGTTCTTTATTTAGTCAAGACTTTGCGAAACATATCATACTTATTTGGTCAGCAATATGTTATACAAGAAGAGATGGTACTGTAATAAATATTAGGCTTTTGTCCTGACTAATATAAATAATTATAAATTTATGAAAGTCCATTTACAATTCCTGTAGTGCAACTTTGGGCAGATATTAAGGGCTCAGATTATTATAATTGTCACCCAGATCAACAATGAAATGACCCCTCAGGAATGTAAATGTAGCAGCAATATCAAAGAGCTCCAGGTCAGCACAGGTAGGCCAGACCTGCAAGATTATACCGCTTGCTATCCTTTTGTTCTTGCCTTAGTTTTTTTAAAATACTTTATACAATAGTCAGAAAGCAAACAAGATTTACATAGTGGCTATTTTACTTATTTGTTTCTTAGCCTAATAAATTGCAGTCCATTTGTATAAAATCTGATCCTATGGTTTAAGTGATTAAAACTACACACTCAAAATATTTGTTTTTCAATGCTGGCAGTGCTGGAAAAATGACTTTGTTCCTAGAGAAAAAGGAACAGAAGCAGTAATAAGGATGGAATTGTAGTAAGATACAGTAAAGTATGTCCTAGTTAAGACCACTGGGTCCAAGGTCTAAACACTACCAGCTGCATCATTGCTTGATTTTAAATAGTATGCATTATTCCATTAATAAGCTATAATTAAACCGAAATGGTGAAACTAAACATGACAGGTTGTTTCAGAATTTTGCCTCCTACTAAGGTTAGCTTGTGGCATTGAGCCTCCTACCAATCTATGACGCAGATGTCATGCAACAATTTTAACAAGAGTGGTCTGCAGTTAAAAATAAAATAAGAGATAAATATTTAAAAGTGACAAGCACTAAGCAAGCGGTGACATATCCAAGTTGATTATCAAACTTTGCTATTGTGTTGCCACCTGGTGAAATGATACAATCTAATCAAAAGTACGTATTTATTGGAATCAAACTATTCTTTTTAACTAACAAATGTGATATTCATGAGCAGATGGTCACTATATCAAAATACATTTATTCTGAGGGCCCACTTTAAAAAAAAGTCTTATATACACCTAAGTGCTGCACTAAGTTTAGATTCAGAATACAAATTGTTACCACGGGAAGATTAAATAACAGATAAATGATTCTACCAGAAGAAAATAGAACTGGATGAAACAGAAAAGCATGAGCAAGCAAAATTGCCAAACCAAACAATCTTACTTTTATAATTGGGTGCTTTTTAAAAAAAATATATTAATTGTTCATTTTGTTTTTTTATTTTAAATAGATTATCAACAGTATATAACTCAGTGGCTACACACTGATGCATACTCACCTGAAAGTGAGTTCCACTTAACTCTATAGGACTTTCTACTAAATAGGGATATGCGTCTCTAGGTGTATATAATTTCATTGTTAAATCTTTTTAAATAGACATTTTTTCTTAGAAGCATATGCTAAAATTCGTGATATTCCCATCTGACCCATTTCTCAGTAGCATTTCAGATTTCTGAAATCTGCCTGCCAAAAATAAGAGGCCCCTTTCTCCCCTTTCATTTACCAGTATTCTGCAGTACTTATTTTTCTCTCCGCTGAATTCCCCCTTTTCTCAAATCTCATTTTATTTTATTGAAAGGACAATTTAATGTGATTTCTAGTAATCATGGAAAAGTTATTCAAATAATAACATTAAAATGCTTTTGTAAACTTGAGACTGCATTCTATTAATATACTATATCCTAACAAAAAATCTATGAAAAATCCAGCTTTATGGTTATAATTCATTAAAAATTATTGAGAGTCTCTATTCTATCCTTTACCTCATTCTACATTATCTCATTCTGTAGATTTTGTGATTCCTATACTTGATCAGCAGCCTGGCATTTTTGATTGAGAAAGACAAAGAAGAACTTGTCTACTCTTGCTTCCAAATCATGGGTCTTTATTTAAAATATGAGGAGGTTGTCAGCTTTGCTTCATTTTTGTATTCACATATTCATAAAAGTTCACATATTTCTTAATATTTCATATAGAACTGTGTATTAAAACAAAGTGAACTTGAGAAAAAAGTAAAACAAATATAGTTATTTATCCCTTTTCCCCAACAAATTGTTTCAACACAGAGGTCACAACTATTTGCCAAAGAGAGAAAAGGAAACCTTTTACCTTATACTATGCTACCTTAGAGAATAGAGCGAAGGACCAAAAACAAAAAACAAAAAACCCTACTGTTATGCTACAATATGTTAGCATAAAAATTAATACACTAAGATCATTACTCTGAACTGGCATCCTCTCACTTGACTAAGGAAAACCTACAAAATTGACAAAAGCTTTGTCTATGTTTATTTAATTCACAATTTTTGTAACCCCAAATCTACAATAAAACAAAAAGACA